GGATTTCTGTTCCCTTTCTGGTTGAGTAATGTCATAGAGTGCATACATACTACATTTGATTTACCATCTGCAGATAGACTCTTCACTTTTCCCACATCTTGTCTACCCGAATAGTATCATAATAAGCATGTCCATACAAGTATCTCTTTGATGATGATTCCTTTCCTTTCCACATATCCCTCAAAGTGGGCTTCCTGGGTCCTGATCCTGCAACTTAATGAATATCTGAATTGTTTTTCATAAGTCTTTAAAGTTCTGTTCCCAGTAGCAGCGTGCAAGAGTCTCTCTTAGCCACACCTTTTTTCTCTGTGTCTTATTTTATTTTTAAATTTAAATTAGAAACAAGGTTGCTTCACAGTCAATCCCAGCTCCCTTTCCCTCTCTCGCCTCTCCTGCCACTCCCTCCCACCAACTCCCTATCCCCCCCCCAATCGGCACTCCTTTCCACTCCTTTACCAGGCATCTTGTTTTATGGTTTTATTATTGCCATTAGAACAGACATGGCAGGATATCTTAATGTGGTTTTGATTTGTATTTCCCTGATGATTAATGACATTGATTTTTGTTATGTCCTTGTTGGCCATTTTTCTGTCTTACTTTGAGAAACATCTGCTCAGAAAGTTTAACTATCTTAAAATCAGATTATTTGTGTGTGTGTGTGTGTGTGTGTGTGTGTGTGTGTGTAATTTTTGAGTCCCATGTATATTTTTGACATTTTTTAAAAATCAGATGAGAAGCACAGACTCTGTAAGGAATCCATGGTTTAGGATTACCTCCTGTAGTCTACCAGTTAGGCTTATGTAGACATTGCCACTGTGAGCCAGCCATTGGTGAAGTGGCTTTCCTGGGGTGTAGTATTGCAGTACTGGCTGGTTTTGTGCCTGGTAGAGGAGTAGAAGTCATGCCCAGTAGCTGGCCGTTAGGTGGCGTCACTATGAAAGTTTTCCTGAGGTGCCAGAGGGTTCAGAAGCTACAATCTGGATCTTTCTGCGGAGTCAAGGTTCTGAGCAGGCAGCATCTTCATGCCAGTTCCCTTGAGCATGATGGAGTGATGGCAATCACTTTGTTGGGGTACAATCTGCTAGAGGGTCTGTTTTCAATGTGTTAATTAGTCATGGCTGCTTTGCTGTCAGGGAGTGTGCTAGGTGTGCACATGGGCTGCTGCTTGAGGCAGTATATTTACACTTTATCCCAGAGACTTCAAGACACTCAGAATCTGAGAGATGAGACTCCTTGTGTGGTTATGCAAAGCAGCAATGGGAGACCTCGTGGGGTTTCCAGCCTGTCTTCCCTGTAAGAAATCCATCTTCCCTCTGGACTCAACTGGAAGATCACAGTTTGCCCTTCTCTGATGCTTCTGACTGGTCTGTTATGTTTCACAGTGGTCTTCCTTTGTAATACTCTCTAGTGTACTTTCTCAGCCACAGTAGTAGACACAGCAGTTCCTTTTTCTCTCTGGTCTCTTTCTATCATGAGCTGAGTGACTGACAACTCTGTTAGGCCATTTTGCTGATATCACCTTATTTAAAAACATCTGTTGTCTTATTCTCATTGGGAGAACTTCTGTATTCTACACACAGCTCCTTTTTGAGACACACAGTTTTAAGATATTGTGTGCTAACCTCTGACATGCCTTTTCATTTTCTTAGTATTATCACATGAAGAGCAAATGTTTTTGTATTAATTAATTCTACCTTATTATTTTCTTTAACATCTTTTGGACTAAAACTACACATATACACACACACACTTTTCAAGACAGGGTTTCACATGTAGCTCTGGCTGTCTTGGAAATTACTCTGAAGATCAGAAACAAAATATCCAAAATACTATTGAGTTTTCTTTATGTTAACTGTCTACTGTTGAGCATGATGTTGGGCTATAAATGTTTTGTATACCTAGTGAGACATAAGATCATTTTCTTCTTTTAAAAATAAAGTCATTCAATGCCACGGTCCCATTTGTTGAAAAGATGATCACTTTTCCATTGATTGCCTTGGCATTGTTGTTGAAATCAATTGGCTATATACATATGGAATTATTCTGGACTTTATTAAGTTGCACTAAATTATGTGCCCATCGTTATGCCAATATCACACTTTCTTGATTGATGTAGCTTTATGATATATTATGACATCAAGTAGTGTAAGTCCTCCAACTTTGTTCTTTTATAAAGAGTAGTTTTGGCCTTTCTAGGTCTTATGAATTTGCAGATAAATTTTGTAGTCAGATGGTCAATTTTCTATCAAAAACATGAAGGGATAATAACTGAAATTGATATGAAGTTACACATCAATTTAGAAAGAGCAGTATCTTTCTGATAATTGATTTGACCTATGAAGATCTGTCTCTTCATTTTATACTTTCAAAGTTTCCTTTGGTAATGTTTCAGTGGATGGGTTTTATAGATACTTCATCAAATATATCTAATATTATTTCAGAAGTTCTGATGCTACTATACATAGCATAGCTCTAAAATTTTAATTTATGGTTACTTATTGCAGGCTCACAGAAATTTCATTAAAATAAAATTTATTGATTAATTTTTATAGAAATATTAATTTTTACATATTGGCTGTGTAAGTCTTGCTAAGCTCTATATTTCTAGTATTGAGTTTTTTCTACATCTATGATCATGTCAATGGTGAATAAAGAAAATTTTGTATATATTCTTCTAAGCTGGTCTTATAAACATACATATTTAGGAAGCAGAGAGTGATGAGTACTCAGCTAGTTTTCTTCTTGTGGAATGCTGCTGCCCGCAGCAGGTGTGGTTTTCCTACCTTAGTTCAGCCTAATGTCTACATGTAATCTTTCACAGGTTGCCCAGAGGGTCATTCATCTGAGTGATTCTAAGCCCCATCAAACTGACAATGTCATCCATCTCAGTGCTTAACTGAGGATGTTGCTGGAGAATTGTATTAGCTATCCTTTGCTTTTCTATAACAAATTACTACAAATCACAGTAGTTTAAAACAACAAATATTTATCATCTCAGAATTTCTGTGAGTCACGTATTCCAAAGAACCCTAGTTGGATGGTTCCACCTGAGTCTTGAGTTTCCAGTCAATTAAAGTAGGTCGTTTATCCATATCTAAAATTCGTATTTGTGTGGTTTCATAAAGTCAGAGTGGTATTCAATCTGCCAAATTCTGCTTTATTCAAGAATGGATAAAAGTCCATACAGATTGCAAGTAGAGAGGACACTTTATTTTAAGTAAAGCAGTAGAGCAGATTAGAAAGCAATGTCCTCTCAAGATTGACATTGGGACACATGAGTGGAAATACTCAAGGCCCTGATTTTTTTTGGTTCTTTTATGAGGTTCAGGAGGAGAAGTTAGTTGCTAGGGACCTAATTTGGTGACTCTCTATTTTGATTGACAGGTATAGGTTACATAAGTCTTTGCTCACTGTGACTGTTCCTTCCCATAATGTATCAGATCATAATCACATGTATATCTAGATATACATTTGTATATCATGGATTTTTTTCATATGGAGACACAGTTTTGCCATATTATGCATATATTCAGAACCAGTTCAGGCAGGATCAATCCTCCAACTCTCGGAACAGAATGTACTGGCAATATTTTGAATAGAAACTGTCCAAGTTTGATGGTCATTAATATCATAAAGGAAGAAAAACTTATTTTATTGTTGCAGTGCGTTGTGCAGACAGCTCCACAATGGTGGAGGTCCTATGATGCTAGTGGGTCCTAGGTTCATTGGTTAGAGAGGGATGTATGTGCATAATACCTGTACACAAGGCTTTCAAGGTGCCAAGGGCTTTACTGAAAGACCTTCATATGCATAGCCTAAACCAAGAAGAGTCCCTGTGTAATGAGCACTTTTTCCCGCCAGCCTGGTTCCACAGTCACGTCAGCCCCAAATGAACACACAGACACTGTATTAATCATGAAACTGTTGGCCAGTGACTGGGCTTCTTACTGGCCAGCCCTGTCTTAATTATCAACCCACATCCATTCATCTAAGTATTTCCACATGATCTTATCTTACTGGAGAAGGGTCTGGACCTCAGACCCCTTTGTGGTCTCACATGGCATCTGACTGACTACATGTACCAGAATTCTCCTTATCTCCTAAATCCAGTTATCTTGCTGCCCTATTGGCAACAGTGTTTTATTCAATAAGAGAAACATATATACAGAAGACATCTCCATCATCCGTGAATTACCAAATTATCTCTTATGCTTTCTCACCTCGGTCTGATTTCTGCTTCCAAGAAAAATTGCTTAGTAAAGGCAGAAAGACATCACATTTGTCAGTGTAGACATAAACTGAGCTGGGTTTTAGTCATGCATAAGGGTTTTGGCACATTCACTCTGCAGAGCAGGGAAGCCTGCTGTACTGCCCACAGCTGGCCTGCACTCCATGCTCACAAGGAAGGTAAGGATCCAACTCCATGCTCACTCACTTGGCTGCTGTCAGGCTTCATTTCTTTGCCAAATACTTGCTAAAAAAATCTCAGTTTTCTTACAACACGGATCTCTCTACAGGTTCCCAGGTGTCTTCACAAAGTTCTAGCTGAATGATCCAGACTGAATGATTTGAGAGAGATTTATTATTGTCCACAAAAACAGAAGGTATAGTCGTTTTGTAAGGCACTGTCAGAAATATAAGTGGATAGCTTCCAAGATGCTCTGTTCATTGGATGTTAATTGCTGGACCTCTTAAGAAGGGAGAAATATTAAGCTTGTTGTTGGTACATTTTAGAAATCACAATAAGACTTTTCCCATCAATATATGTTTTATTTAAATTAGAAACATGAATGCTTCACATGTCAATCCCAGCTCCCTCTCCCACCCCTCCTCCCTTGTCCCTCCACCAGCCACCCCAGCCCCCCACCCAATCCCCATATCATTCCCCAAGGAGGGCGAGGCCCTCCTTGGGGGGGATCTCCAAAGCCTGTCATTTCACCCAGGGCAGGACCTAGGCCCTTCCTCATGTGTCCAGGCTGAGAGAGCATCCCTCTATTTGGAATGGGCTCCCAAAGATCATTCATACACCATGGCAACACTGATCTACTACCCAAGGCCCCAGTGATAGAAATCACAATAAGACTTTTATAAGTAGCCCATAAGATCACAAAGATCGAAATATTTAAAGTTTTTTCTTCATACAAAATTTACCTGGTTTGGTCTAAAAACTGAAGCATATTTTTGTTATCCTGTCCAAAGAAAAGCCATACTGTCATAGAGGCTAACTTTAATATATTTTTGTAATGTGGTAATAATTGGTTTATGTTCTGGGGTGCTTTACAAATGGGAAGATCTAAAGAGATAACTATAGACTGTATTTCAAGCATTTAAAAAGGATTTCCTACAAATTAAAAAACTCATATGGAATGAGCAAATAACCGTCCTTTGCCTTCAGCGGTCCTTCTAATGTCAACACACCCCACAACCACAACCAGGGCTGTTAAAACCCAGATTTTAGCCCCTCTCTCTTTAGAGAGACTCAGAATAGTAGCATTGAGAGCTGAGAATCTGCTTGTCCACCCAGTGCCTCATGATGCTTTGCCGAGGCTGCTGGTCAATGCCTCACACTGGTGTGCCTATGGCTGTATCCTGTGCTAAAATGAAAGCAAAACAACCTACTAATTACATGAATATGCTTATTTGTTTTACTAGAGGAACTAAATATAGGTCAAATATTTGCTCCTGTAGGACATAGATCATCTTCAGCATTTTTTCAGAATTGAGTGATATATTATGTTTTACTTCTTGAAAATTTCATTCATGTTTGCAATGTATTTTGTTTATATATAACCTCCACTATGTCCCTCCAGCTACCCCTGCCCCTAAACATATCTCCCATCTCCTCCCAACTTCATGCATTTAAAAAATAACCCACTAATGCCAATTAGTGCTACCCATATGTGAATGTCTATGGGGTTGTCCCTTGGGGCATGGGTACCCTACCAGTGAGGAAAGTCACCCTCCCTCCATATGCATCTGCTTCTCAGCCAGAGTGGGCATCAGGAACTTACATCTTTACCCTGTTGCAGTGTTTAACTCTTGATCTTGTAGGTGTGATGTTGATTACTTACAGAAGGGGGTTACTTGATGATGTTTTGACTTTATCATTATTGATTATGAGAATACTGAATCACATAAATGTGCACTAAAATGGATGAAATATATATATATATATCAAACGTTTATGGAAATTCTGTTCCAATCCAAAGTTGAAATTTACTGAAAGATTAAAAAAATGAAACTCAAGTCAGCAATGCAGAGAGCAATTAAAAAATCAAATGCTTAAACACAGTACAATGTAAGACATACTAGTTTGATACTTACTGTAGAGGAATGACAGTAAAACATATTACAAGTCTGTTTTCCATAATTAAACCATTGTCCCTCTAAGAGCAGGATACTGTATGCACAGCTTAAAAAATGCTGCAATTCATTCTATGTGTTTGTCTCGAAACTGAGCTGAGATATTTTAGGCAGCCATTGACTGGCATTGCATGCCGTGAAGTCACAGCTGGTGAAAAGTATCCATGCCATGTGCTCAGAACCGACTACAGTAAAATTCTGCTATGTATCATGAGCAAGTGCTGCCAGAAACTCCTGAGTCATGCATTTGATGTTTTAAGAGTTCTTATTTTTTCCATACAATATATTTTAATCATATTCTTTTTCCTCCCCCACATCCTTATCTGCTAAACTCCATGCTCTCTCTCTCTCTCTCTCTCTCTCTCAAAAATCCCTTCAAATAAAAACAAAAACAACCCCCCAAAACCATGAATCACAATTGTAAAAGCAAACTACAATAGTACTACTAATAATAATGAAATAACAATAATAAAAGAAAATTAATAAGATGGAAAACCCCAAAACAATATTAAAAAACCCTCCAAAAACATAAAGTCTGTTTTGCATTGACCTGTCCCAGAGTATGGTTGATAGGCACAGACTCTCCATTGGAGAAAATTACCTCCCCATTTCCCAGAAGATATCAATTGCATATAGGTTTTTGATTAGGAGTGGACTTTTGTGTCTGCTTCCCATTCCAAATGGTGAATCATGTCTGGTTTGAGCCTGTGCAGACATTGTGAGTGCTGTCACAGGTTTACCAGCCCTGTTTTGTGTGGAAGACAGTTTCTGTAGAGTCATCCATCACCTCTGACTCTTAATATCTTTCTACCTTCCTACTTTTCTGCATATATCCCTGAACCTTGAGGGGATGGGTGTGACAAAGACATCCATTTATGATGAGTGCTCAGAAGTCTCTCAGTCTCTGGACATTGTCCAGTTGTGGATCTCTGTGTGACTTACCATCTGCTACAAGAAGAAACTTGAGTGAGTACATCTGACTTTGTAAATAAGTACTTTTATTTATTTGTTTGTGGTGTGTGTGTGTGTGTGTGTGTGTGTGCGTGTGTGTGTGTGTGTGTGTGTGTGTACCCACAGCTTAATACAAGTTTCCAGGGCCAAGGACAATCCTGTGAGTTTGGTTTTCTCTCTCCACCTTGTTGAAGCAGGGTCTCTTGTTTCTGGTCCTGTCTGTGTAGTTCCATCAGCTTCTCCTGGCTCTTCCTTCCACACCATAAGAAAGAGTGCTGGGATTGCAAATGTGTGCCACCATGTACAGCTTTTCCTGTGAGTTCAGGCCTCTGAATGAAAGTTCCCAGGCTCACAAGGTAAGTGCTTTTATCTGCTGAGATGGTTCTGCAGTGCCTGTGCATTTGACTTCTAACTACATTTTGATCACACATCAGAAACCATTTTTTTTCTGTTTTTGTTACCAAAGTTTTCATGAGTTTCACATTAGGTCTCATGACCTCATATAGTGTAGGTGTGTGTGTTCAGAAAAGTTCTGCTTGCAAGGCATCATCCCAGCTTTTCCCATTAACAGATTTTGATTTCTCCTTTATTACTGAAAAAATTTTTGCTAGGCATCTGACTTTTCTTTCAGAACTTTTGGAGCGGGTGGTTTTTGGTATTTTCCTTTTTGAAGTATTTTGAGGATAGTTACTTTTAAATATTTGTCAGATTACTTTAACAACTTTACCAACCTTATTCTGGCATTTACATATTTATGTTTTCATTTAGTTTCAAATCTCAGCATTTGGTCTGACAAGTGAATTTTACCTGATGCTTTGAAATTTTGTTCCTTGTGGGAGATACTATCTTTTATTTAAACCCGCATTTTCTGGATGTATGTGATTCTACTCTATCAGTAAAAGCTTCCTATTACTGCCAGATGGGAAGAGAGCCATAGTCCTCACCTTCCTGTACTCATTGTTTCTTGGGGCAGGTAGTTGGAGAACTCTGAGTTGTCTATGGTCCCCATTAACACTGCATGGAGGATTTTTCATTGCTGGAATTGAAATGGTGGGGTTCCCACTTTCCCACCTCTTAAATAATCTGGTGCTAGGAACTTGGGATCCCTTGCTAGACTCTATTCAAGAATGCTATTCAAGGGTTTTGTGATGCGACTTTTCCTGGGAAGACGGAACAACACCAACCACAAACCAGACAAATGTTTCCATTCAACTGTAGGTTTGTCAGCTGATGAGACTTTTTAAAGTTAATATACAAGGGCAATTGAATTGAAAAGCCCATGCCAGCATAGGTGATGCATCATGAATAGCTGCATCCCTGAGCTCCATGCATAACTTGTAAGCATCACCATCAGAAAGCATCTCTGCTACCTGCAATTCTTATTACCCATGGAACCTTGGGGAGAATCCTTGTCAGTCTTGCAATGTCCTGAGCTTCTTGAGCCTTGTATTGCTTGTGACCTTGCAAAGTATTAGGACCCTGCAAGATACAATACGTTCGTTTGGAGGAAATAGCTAACATAGAGCTTCTCACCCACTTCACTAGCACAGCCGTGGTGGGTCAGATTGTTTATAATCCCTCAGAGAAAGAACAGAGTACTTTCCAAAAGTTGTTAGCCTTGCTAGTCTGTCCTTTCACTCGCTCTTTGCTTGGAGGCACTTCTGTTGAGGCTTCATTTTGTGTGGCATTCACAACTGGTGAGGTTTATCAACTCCGCGTTTGGAGTATTTGGGGCAGGAGGAAAACTTAAGGGACTCACCACTGTATCCTTTCTTGGTGCCTATGATCCCTAGACTTTCCACATCTTTCAGACTCTCCTAAAGTGCCATCTGTGCACAAAAGCAAAACCTTAGTTCTTGCTGGATACAATAAGGAAAAGTATCTGTACTTCAAATGCAAGTAGAAGCTTCCTTATCTCTTAAATGTCTTTCACTAACACGTTTGTGCTGACTTTTTTAAACTTAGTAAATTAGTATAGTATTTTTTTTACTGAAAGGTTACTTTCAAATATGAATAGACTCCACTAGGACCAAATTATGTGAAAGAAGCTTAATAGAAGTATGGACTCAAGGAGGGTAAGGACAGATATTAAATATCTGATTACTATAAGAAAAATCAAGTATACATTAAAAAGATGGTTAATAAAAGTTTTGATCATTTACAGATTTCTCAGACACTGAAAATGTGACTTAATAGTAGTTTTTAGAGTAAAAATTTTATTAAAAATAATTTTCTTATATTTTCCTGTGAACTATTTGACTTTTTCCCCAACACTATTATCTTACATCAAATTCTGGTAGCATATTTGAAATTTAAGAGTAGTGAAGTTAGTTAAAAGGTAGCAAATGTTATAGGGATTAAGGTATAATAGGTGTCTACACAAGTTTAGTCAATTGCCTTTAGATTGATGCAGATTTGTGTGTGCAGGTTGACATTTCCTGCAATGGGTCCAGGTGAACGTGGTCCAAAGACCTAGAGTGTTGGACGGATGTTCAAGGCCCCCAAAGATTGACCTGAGACAGAAGCTGCTGAGTTCGTGCTTTCAGGCCAGTGAAGGCCAAAGACACAGGCAAGTCTGAGAGTAAGTGTAGCAGAAGCATGCTGTGTCATGATGATTTCTGAAGAGTGAGAAACTGAGAAAAAAGAGGGAAAATTAGAGGTAAGTGAAATAAACCCCTGAAAGTGAGAGAGGTTCTCAAGAGAGAAAAAGCCATTGAATGCCTCTGTTTTCATTAGACTATGGCAGAAACTGGACAAAGACTAAGGCCGCTGCTGTATGTTGGTTAGTTCTCTGGAATATCATGGGCTGAGTCAATGCAAGTGACTAGGAAATTCTTATTTCTTTCTAAGAAGAAGCAGTAGTTTTTCTTTGTTAATTTGTTCTGTATGATGGGCTGGGGTACCTTTACGGAAATAGGTGGAGAATTAGGAGCAAGTATAGATAAAATGACAGCAGTGTCTTGCACATTACCCAGAGGTTTCAGATAAGCCAGTAGACCTGCCCAGAGCTATGTCTTTCATCTTCTCAGTTTAGGTTGGTAACCTCATCTTTCCCTACAAGTTTGTTTGTTTCTCATTCTTAGTGTTCCTGTGTTGTCTACTTTAACCCTGACCATCCTTTTAAACCTGGAGTCCATTGGTTAGTGAAATATTTATCTGAGCAACTCGCAGGTTTCTCCATGGACCCCCCCTTTCTTGCCTACTGACAGAGAGTTAGCTCCTCCATCCAAAGTTAAAAGTATGCTGGCTGGTGAATACTTTTCAATTAAGAGAAAAAAACTGAACTAGAATGTTCCAGAAATTAGAATTCAGGCTATTGATTTTCTGTTTTATAGTACATATAAACTACTCAAAATCTTAAAACACAGAACAGAAAGTCACGTAGGTATTTACATTTGGATCAGTAAAAGGGTTTTAAAGTTTCTGTTTTTACGGGGCTGGTCCTCAGTCCAGGACTAGCATCACTCCCTTTTAAAGCCTAGGTTACTCAAAGGTACTTGTTATATTCAACACTCTAAGCTGAAGGAAGAAGGGGATATGGTGAGTTTGAAACTATCCTGGGCTACACAATGCAACACCTCCCCAACAAACCATACCAAACCAACAAAAGAAGAAAACAGAGCTACTTTTTAAAGAATTTCCTCTTGTATCCTATTCTCAAATCATGCCCACAGTCAACCATGTTCTTTAGACTGTATTTTAAAATAGATTCTGTTAAAGCAGTTTAATCTTAAAATGTTATATTTACAGTGAACTGGAAATGACATTTTTGGGGAACTCCTAAACCACCAGATTATCAAGAGTAAGAGTTGTCAGTTTAAAAATTGGTAAGGGAAACTAAACTCGAGAACAAATTAGGAAGATCATACATCATCAACAAATAGTTTTTTCTTTCGGGACACCAGGATAGCTCAACATACGCAAATCAATAAGTGTGATACAGTGTGAAAACAGACTTAAGAACAAAAAGCATCTCATCTCAAGAGGTACAGGAAAGATCTTTAATAATGTTCAGCACCACTTTATGATAAAAGAAAGAAATGAGGACTGGAAGGAACATGTTTTAACACTAAACAGTGTGTGTACAGCAAACATACAGCTCGTATTAAGTGAGAAAAGACTGGAAGTGTCATTTTTAAATTCAGGAATAAAATCAGGGCATCTTTTTATGTCTTTTTCCCTATTATCCAACACAATTCTTGAATACTTAGAGTAATACAAAAGAGAAGAAAGGAGGCATACATAGAAAAGGAAGATATCGAGTTATTCTTAGGAAGACAACATGGCCTCTGCATAGAAGATCTCTATTGGGAAAGGTCATCTACCTATTCAGCACAGCTTCAAATTTCCAAAGAAATTCTTCACAGAGATAGGAAAGGAATCCAGAGTTCAGACTGAAGCCTTGAGTTCCAGCCTAAAGACCTGGAACAGTCACATTCTAACCAGAGCATTGCTCGAGGACCTCAATACCTGATCTCAAATTGTATTGCAGAACTCTGTTGACAAAGTTAGCATGGTAATGTCATCAAAAAAGACATGTAGGCCAGCAAAGGTGCTAAAAGCAATAAAGAAAAGACCAAGTATGTGTGTGTGTGTGTGTGTATCTCTATGTATGTATGTATGTATGTATGTATGTATGTATGTATGTATCTATCTATCTATCTATCTATCTATATCCTTGAGGAATCCTTCTTTTACAGTATCATTCAGGACAGAATTTCCATGTATATATTTTTTCTTACTTTCAGTTTGTTTCAGAAGGAAAATGCTGGCTAGGGTTTTTTGACATGCCAGCTTTGCATCTAAGCTTGATGCTTGCAGTCACTAAAATACTTTCCGTGTCAGGTTTATCCTTATCAATTTCAAATGTTGGAAATTGCAGAGAAAAAACTCCAAGGTGATGAAAAAGTTTAATAGCATATGTAATATAATCACAAGTGTAGCATAAAGAAGTGCATTTTCAGATCTTGCCTGCCTATCAAGTATTCTTTGCAAGGATAAGTAAAGTATAATATTGTAATTTTGAAATTCACAAATACCTCCTGCTGTCATATATTAGTCTTGTTCTATTTCCTGGAACATACCTCACAAACCTCTTGGAGTCTCAGGATTGATAAATGTTCTTCATATGCTAATGGGGTTGTGAGTGGCTTGGACATCATGAAGCTTGCAGCTAGGGGCTGATAGCCAGAATGATCAAGGCATGATTCGAAGATTGGAACTCTAGCCCCACTTTCTTGAACTCTAGAGAGTGGTGGAAGACTGGCTGAAGGCTGAATCTCTCATTATTGGGAAATTTTATAACCAATGACTCTTTTGTAGTGAACTTCCTATAAAAGTCCTTAGACAGTGGCAT